GGGAAATAAAGAGCAGAATTTTTATCATATACAATTTGTAATTATCCTATGGCAAAGGAGTATCTCTTTTTAAGATATTTTTTAATTAATCCATCCAAAAATGTATTTGCTATAGCTTATGCTTTGTCTAAGTTTCTTATCAAATATCTGTTCATATAAACAGCACAGATGTTCTACCACTTCATGAACTGCTGTTTAGCCATTACATTATTATCTTCTATGTTAGTGGATAGAATAATACTTTTTTTTAGGTTTGTCACATTTTGATTGGTATTAATGTTTCTGCATATACTGCTTCTCCTCGTTTGCACTTACTTTAAAAATGACTGTGGTTTCTCACCCTATGCAGAAAAAGGCATAGGGTTGTCATTAAGCATACAAGCAGAGCATTTTTTTTTATTTCTGTGTTAGAGGACAAGATAAATCAAAATTACTTCCTTGAACACCATTTATAAAAGCCCACATTAAGCTGACAGTCCTTTCATGATTTGATTTCCCCCTGTGGATGCTGTGTTCTCATATTTTTTGTCTTCACAGATGAACAGTATTTGAACAAATGTCATGGGATGTATTTCTAATTTTATCTTCTTATTTTTTTACTTCTGCTCTCTGCTGCTTATCTCCATAGATACTAAACCACAAAAGGATGTTGAGATTGTGTTTTTGTTTGTCTGCTGTCAACCCCAGTTTCACTCACGAGAGATGTTTTTGACATACTTGGCATATAGTCAAGCCTAACTCGGAGGGGGATTGGTTTCACTGAAAAACACAGGATGAAACATTGCAGTTTTTTTTTTCTCTCCCAAACATTCTGTTTGGTTTCTAACTTTGAGTGCAAATTGTCATTTGGGATTTAGCTCAAAGCTTAGATTTGTGTTTTTTTTGTTTGTTTTTTTCCTTCAGACACGAGCAAAAAAAAATGCTACATGGTGTGCTGTTCTGAAGTTTTATTGTTTGGATGCTTTGTTTCCTTTCATCACTTTCACTGGCTGACTTCTCTATAATGATGTATCTTATTTTTTCCCTCCCTTCCCCCTTAGTCTTCTCTCCCTCCCCTCCCACTTTTCTCTTTCCCCTCTCTCTCTCTCTCTCTCTCTCCATCTAAAGAGCACTCTCTGGCTGCGCTTCACTTCATTTTCCACCCCAACATGTTGGAAAGGGGAGAAGGAGGACGATGCTGCGCTTTACCCTTGGTGCATTCTTGCCACCTTTCCGGCCAGCACACACTGCCTCTGACTCAGACTCACCCTCATCTTTCACCTGTCTCCGACTAAAGGACTTGAGAGAGGAGGTGGAGAGAGAAGCGAGCAACAAACTGGAGCTCAGGAGTTCTCACTACAGGTTCCCGGACCGAGAAAACGGCATGAGACAAGAGCGGAACAGAAACTGCTCCTCCTCTGTGGTGGAAACTACTAACACCTCAGCAGTGACCACCTCCTCCTCCTCGGGTTTCCCTGCCTCTTTTTCAACTCTCTCGGCTCCAAGATCTATGTGGCAAGAGGCGATGAAGAGGAAACAGTATTTGCTGGACCGCGCAGGGGTGTCTGGTGAAGTGGATAAAGGAGGAGGCAGTGAGGAGAAGAGGAACAGGTCCCCGGACTGGTTATATGAATCCTACTACTGTATGAGCCAGCAGCATCCGCTCATTGTGTTTTTACTTCTCATAGTGATGGGAGCCTGCCTGGCTCTGCTGACTGTGTTTTTTGCTTCAGGGCTGGTAAGCTGCTCGCTCACAAAACACACACATTGATATACACATGCACATATATTATGCAAGTGAAACACTTAGAAATGAGCAACAACCTGGGACCACACGCAGGTTTCGCAGCTTATGTGGCATTTTTCTTTTTAGTTTGATGTTAAATGTTACGTGGACGGATAGTTCTCTGAGATTTTGGTCTCGGTAAGTCATTTAGCAGGATGTGATGATGCAAACAATACTAACAGATCTTTAAAAAATAAGTGCACAAATGTCCCGAAAAACCCAAACGGTACAATGCAAAGTTGACTGGAATCAGACAGCCAAAGCTGGAGCCTACAAATGTGCACATGCTGGTTCAGTACCTGTACCCATCCGCAATCAGACTCTCACAGCATGTTCTCTTCATCGCAGCACTAATGTGAAGTGAAAGGAGAGGATAAGGGGCTTAGTTATTGTATAAGCCTATGGTTGACTCAACTACAAAGTGATCCGTTTTGCTCTGTCCCCCTTTTTCCTCCCTCAGTCAAAAGCCTTTAAAATTCAAGGCAGTGGCAGCCAAGACATCTGCATAATGTGTCGGATTACGGTAGCAAAATCATTATATATATATATTTTTTTCTTTTGAACTGATTAAATTTCCTTTCCTGTGAACTTTGTTTGTGGATTTTAGCACTTGCTTTTTAAAACCACCCCATTTTTGATTGATTTTACTGTTAAGAAAGGATTTGTCTGAAATGTATTGTTAAATACTGAGGTAAACAAAGAGGGGACCGACACTTGGATTGTATGGTGCTAAATCCACTGAAGCACAATGATTTGTATGGGAACTACTGAATATTCTGGCTAAACATGCAAAAATTAATCAATTTAACAGGGGTCTTTCATAATAATTATTATTATTATTACTATTATTATTATTATTATTATTATTATTATTATTAATCTATCTCTGAAATGAAAGCTTTGACTTAACTCTGAAGGAACTGCACCAATAGGACACTTCCTGTGGTGTGGCGAAGAAAACAAACAACAAAAAATTATGTTATTGATTACATCTCAAAATACCTGCATCTCTAACCCCATATGAGCTGAAGCAGAAAGATTGTATTCCACTTCTGGCAACATAAAATGTCGTTCAGTACAAGCCAGTCTTTTGCCATTTTTAACTTTATAACTCAGTGGTACACAGTGACAAGAAGTAACTTGCTAATTAAAACTGCTACTCCGTTCTGAAAAGATTAACACTGAACATCATTGTTTGAATTGATTTGCTCACTGTTAATATTTGAGTGGCTAAATAATAATCATAGCTTGTTCTTCTGACCTTAGGCACAACCTTAATAGGGTCAATCATTTGTGTGTGTTTTTACATTAAAGCTGACTTTGTTTTTGATAACAGCTGTAGGTTTGTTACATGATGAGAAACTGCTGTTCTAGTTAACACGTCGATCTTCTCTTAAAAGCATGATTCTTGCACAAACAAATACGATTTATTAACTCAGGGTAAATTATGTGTTTCTACTTCACTATGCAAAAAGCATGGCTACTCTGGTATGTTTTTTTTCCCCTCTTATCCTCTTTTATTTTTGATTCCCATGCCATCTCTCACCTCCTTATTTCTTTTTGTGGCATTCATTTTTATCCCTTCATCCCTCCATCGTTCTGGGTGGCTGACCTAAATCCTTTGCTGTTTTAAAGGCTCGCTTTGGGCAAGACAAACTCTGTGTGGCTCTCTTTTTTACCACAGCCGTCCTCTCATGTCCCAGTGCTTTGACTGTACACGAGAAAAAGAAATAGCATGGCTTGGAGTGGAGACTGGGTCAGAGACATGTGAGCAGGAGGATTGTGGATTGTTGATAATGGTCAGACTGGACATTTCTAATGTAAAAAATGAACAATTAAATGTGTGTCAGTGAGTCAAGTAAATTAAAATAGCCTTAAAATGTCTCGTTAGCCTTCAGGGGCAAAAGTAAAAACTGACAAAACAAAAAATTGAAGCTCTTCAAAATTCAAGTCACACGTTGAAAATTGCATTTCTAAAATAAATGTCAACAGATGTTTAAGTGAGATAGCCTAAAAGGCTTGACACTCCAGTGTTTTGACCTTATCGTGACCCTTTTTCCATCCCCCGTGACAGGAATGGTGAAGGACTGATGAAATATAGCAGAAACATGGCACAAGCATCCCATCTCACCGTGCCGTTCCTGCAGGTTTAACTGGATGGAATTCCTAAAATTTTTATCACATTTTCCATATCCAAGTGTGTTGCAGGCAGGCAGCAGCAGTAAATTATGAATGTAGCCTGAACATGCAAGATATTACCCAAGCATGGTTTTCTCTCTTTATATTTCACTGGATTGTTTCTTTTGAATGGCTATTTTTTTTAAATCTTTTATACTTTTAGCTAAGCATATTTTTTTTTTACCTTTTTTAAAATACAGTTCCATACATACCTGTGTGATTAACAATTGTTTTAGAGAGCAAAGCAGAAAATATGTACTATTTGACTTTGCATTATGCTAGAAATTTTCCTGAATCCTCATATGAATTTATTTTGAATGACATATTTTATATTCCCATCCCCATTTTCTTTTCAGATTCCAAATAAAATATGTCTACTTTTATAAATGTGAACATTGTATTTCTGGCTACAAACTGCAGTACACTTGTTCCAAATGTACTATTTTGTAGCGCTCGTTCACGAATGGATTTCTGAAGTTATTCAGTAATTATATATACTTCTTCTAAATCTTATGTTCAAACATTTACGATCCCGTTTCTGATTTTTATCTTCACACTTTCCTTTTCAGAGCATCGCAGACCATGTGGCCTTTGTAATCACCGTGCCCACAGCCCTCGCTATATTCCTGACGGTGTTTGTGCTCGTCTGCATTGAGTCCGTCTTCAAGAAGCTTTTGCGTGTTTTTTCCTTGGTCATCTGGGCTTGCTTGGTTGCAATGGGCTACCTTTTCATGTTTTCTGGTGGAATCGTATGTCCATGGGATCAGGTAAGAAATGGCTGTTCATGAATTGTTTTGTTAACGTGGTTATTAATAAAGAGTGGACCACTTGCAAAAAGTGGTAAGTTTATGAAGGAACTATAGCCTTTAAGGGAAACTGAATTGTTGATGTTTGTTGTGTCAGCAAAGCATTTTGTGGTGAAACCAGAAATGGACAGACGTTCCTTAGGAAACCCATGACAAGGGCACAAGAGAAAATTAATTTTGGATCGTTATCTTTCTTTAACCAGCAACATCACCAAATGTTTTCATCGCCTTAGCAGTTGATTCAGCATCACTGACATATTCAGAACACTTATAAGTGAATTCTTGGCTCATGGACAGGAGGCTGCTGAGGGAGTGGCGTTGTCTTGGGGAAGGGTTGGGCTGATGTGAGCTAGTGCTTGGGCTGTGTTTTATTTCAAATTAAGTGTTTTTAAAAATTCATATTAAGCATTATTCCATAGATCGATAGACATATACTGACAGTCAAGTTTCAAGTAACATCTTCCAGCCCCACTTTCTGTCTTTTGTCTGTCAATATCTAAAGTCAGCAAATACCTGAGTGCAACAGGAGCATAGACAGACATAGACATTTGGAAGTAAAGGTTCTAGAGCCTGGAGGAAGAACAGAGAGGCACAGAATAAAAGTTTCTGGAAGTCCAGAGTGAATTTTCCACAGTCTGTGATAATCTGGGAGGCCATGTTATCTGTTGGTCCACTGTGTTTTATGAAGGCCACAGTCACTGCATCCATCTGTCAAGACATTTTAGGGCACTTTCCTTCTGCAAAGATGTTTTATGAAGATGTTGATTTCATTTTCCAGCAGGACCTGGTACCAGCCCACAGTGCCAATGATACCAAAAGCTGGTACCAATGACCATAGAAGTACTATGCTTGATAGGCCAGCCAATGGACCTGACCTTTGACCCCAGAGAGAATTTATGGAGTATTGTCAACAAGAAGAATACAGACACCAGAATCCGTAGATAACCAAAAGGGCTGCCGTCAAACCTCGACTTCCAGAACTCAGGCTTATTGCTACAGCACGTTGATCCAAAAGGAGTTAAAACCAAATGCTCATAGAAACAAACATACATTTTTACAAAACTCCTCATGACCTTTGACCACCCTGTCACAGCTTTGGCATTATATGCAACATGGCATACTGGTGGAGGGGGAGCTCAACCAGTAACTCTTCTGGCAAATTTAAATAAATGTTTGCATTGCAGGCTGTGTGCAGAGGCTCCTACACTCTTTCAAAAGTTGATAATTTTCCTCCTGCTGTAGCTAAATACCTTTGCTCCTGCTGCTGCAGCAGCTGCAATCTCTGCTCTGGCACTGGGAGTTTCTTGTCCTCTGCTGTTGCTGGCCTGCTGAAGCTGGCATGCTTGAGTCTGTGCCTTGCCATCTGCCCATTGGTCTTTTGTTAACCGGCTGTATTCTAACTGGCTGTCGTTGGCCAATTAGGAGGCCATGTGTTGGTAATTCATGGTGATTTACTCAGGGTGTAGAAAAACAACAAACTTACAAACATATTTCAAATGAAAAGTGCACAGACTAAAACAGTTAAATCAGAATGAACACATGCAATAAAATTACACACTTTAACCCTTTGATAAGTTCTTTGTTGAAGTGTCTAGGCGATGTTGCACAATGGCCTCTTGGTATCATGAAATTCCACAAGATCTGTTTATATGGAAATTAAGTTTATTAGTGTGTATATGTCCTCAGTGTGCACCATTTATTTTGTAGAAGGAATTTTACACTAAACCTACAAAATCAACAGTGTGGCATACAAATATGTCTGTGTGCAGAGTAAATGCTCGTTTTTACCAAAGAAATGTTGCAGAGCATCTTTTCTTCCTCTTAATATAGTAATTTAGTTGCAATTTCCTTGAGTTTTGTACGGCATAGACAGTGTATATACTGTACCTAAGTGCAATGTGCACTATTCTTTCCATTGAATTTGGAGGCTATTAGGAATTAAATATGGCAATATACCAGGTTCATCAGACCCTGCAACCACACGCATTCAGAGCTCAATGGAAAAAAAAAAAAAAAAAAAAAACACTACACATTAGGTCTTCGTCATGTGAAAGCTGTACTCGCTTAGCAGTACTTAGCAAGACAGATGTCTGATGTGGACTTATTTATCACAAAGAGGCAACTAAAGATGCTCTGATTCACACACCTCTCCATTCATTACTTCCTTGTGGTCACCTCAAATGTTAAGCCATTATGCTTCTTCTGCTCTCCTCTGCAGCTTCTTTAAGTGTTAATTACCACTTTCTCAATAGACAGAATGTTTTTGTAGGGACTGTAGTTTTTTTTTTCTTCTTCTTCTTTTACTCAGTTGTTGAAACTGCATAGGTTAAGGGAAATGACTCATTAGCCTTTTCATGCCAGTCCATCTCAGTACGCAGTATTCATTATTGCAATTATCCACAGATGAGACCAGAAGACCTTATTCATGTATCGTTGAAAATAATGTGCGTCACATCTGTTCATTCGGCCTGTAATGAAAAAGATTTAAATAATACATACATGCACTTTGCCAATAGCTGAAGCGGAGCTCCAGGCCTCCCCTTAAGGTGTCCTAGTCAGTATAATAAAACAAATCATTTGTCATGTATCTATGTACAAGTGAAAGGACTGGGCCATCTTTGAGGTCTTACTTTAAGGCCTTTTCTTCTCTGCACTTTTCCCTTTTTTTTTTATTTAGATTTCTATCTTTATTAAAAAAATCAGATTGTCACTGTCACATCTGCTCAGCTGGGACTCCATCGAGGAGTGAAAAACTGTTTGAATTGGGGCAAAAACATTGCACTTCTAACCCCTAATGCTAACAGGTGGTGAAAAATATGTTAGTTGACAAGCATTCAGAATAATCCTTACTCTGTTATGTGGTTTGACCACACAGGAAAGGAGACTATAAATTTAGCTATAAATTCAACACAGTAGTAGTAGTACTAGTAGTAGTTTTCAATATGAAATGCAACATGAAGTCACCATATGTTTTATGATTTATCAAAACCAAAGGCTATAAATCTTCCATTGCTTAACTATATACTTAATTATATTTCAGCTGGCAATAAGTTATTTAACTGATTTGGTGAGTAGCTTCTCATTTTTTAGATAACCACAAGGGAAGACTCATCCTGTAGTTGTCAAAGAGACAAGTTACATTATTGGTATGTATCAAGCAAAGAAAACAAATAAGGAAAATGCTGAAAGTTTCAGAATAAACTATCCAACGCATTGTTAAAAGATGTGGAGAACCATCGTTTTGTAGAAGAAATGTGCTGTTGCCAATGTTTGTTGTTTACTGTCTATTTGATCTGCCTTTATGTCCTTCACTAAGGACATAAAGGTCATTATTGTAATTATGCACACAAATAAATGTGAAGCTTATCAAAGCAATACCAAAATCATTTGCTTGCCTTAATCAAAGTTAAATGTTTTTACAACAAAATATTAGTGACTTCGTTTTATAGTGCAAGGATCCTCATTGTAGTATTGCCCCCAAAATAACCATGACACCAGGATGTTTTCACCTTAGGAAACATCCAGCACTTATTAGATGTTCATACATATAAATAGAAGCATCAGTGGTTTAGCTCAGCTTATTGTTATGTAAAAACAACCAGATGTTAGCATGAGAATTGGAGAATCATTGAGGCCAGTGGCCACTAAAGGAGAACAGATACTACAGGAGTGGACAACCAGATATGTCCTTAGTGGTGTTCTGCTCATGCTTCCCCTCCAAAAGTTACTTTGTGTAGGCCACTTTCCGTCTTCGAACCTGAAATCAATCGGTTACTTCTTCTCGCTCTACAAAGCTTTTCTGTCCCCTAATGGTTAGGAGAGAAGAGCTTATCTGTGTGGTCCAGCCTCTACCCCTCTCTGAGACATGTCTAGATCCTGCCTCATCACTTGCCTTTTCTCCTCTGACTCTCTTTGATACATGTGCCAGATACACATACACACACACACTTGGTATACAGCCAGTCTCATTAAGATTTAACAGACAGAGGTTTTGGTCTTGGAAAGTCCCTGTCAGATTTGAGCAGCAAAGAAGTGGGCAGGCAACAGAAGGAGACGACCCGGTGATGGGAAAGACAGCTGAGGAGGCAAGGGGGCTTGGGGACGAATCAAACGAGAGCAACCGAGACGCAGTGTAAATATGCGATTTAACGTAAAAGATGGAGACTAATTTTGTTTCTATGCCTAATTTATTTTGGTGATTACCATGCAAAGACTGATGGCGGAAATTACAAACCAGCCAATCTGGCAGATTGTTTTTCATCCACTCCATTTATTCCCACATCTTCAGTGTAAATCAGCAGATCTGTCTTTTTACCCCGGCTACGTGAGAGTGGTTGGCGATGAAATGAGCATCTGTCTGCTTTGGTATTAAATAGCAGGCAAGGAGTCAGCACCTGATCTCACAGGCTCACCACACTCAGAGGTTACAGGTTAGATTTATAATCTCACTTGTAAACTAATCACAGCTGCGGTGTAGACTAAAAGCCTGATGTAAGACACTCTGTCTCCATAATTAGTTTTATTGACTGTCTTCAGTGTCATTAGGAAGGAAGTTGACTGTACTATGATAGACCACAAGATTTCTTATTCACGTAATTATCCCAGGAGAAGGTCACTATGTGCTCTGGGTCTCCTAGCCGTCCTGCAGTCAGTCAGCTGTTATGGTTTAAATAAGACATTATGTAGCAAGTCTGCATAACTGAATATTTGATGTCATTACCTCTCAATTATTCTTGGTACACTTTTCATGACTGAGTTAGCAGCATTGGTTTTAACGACATTATTTCAGCAAAGAAGCGTTTTTGGACTCAAAGCAAGTTGTGTTCCTGAGTGAGTTGATAGTTTCCCCTCTGTTTTTGGGATTTAAATTATTACACCTTTATTTGATTAAAAATCTGTTTCATGAACTTCATGTGGCCATAAGAGCTGAGCGAATTGGTTGTGTCAAAATTTATGCACCAACATTTGTTATCTAGTGTGGATGGATTTTTTATTTATTTTTTTAAATCTCTTCCTCGTAGAAAACCATAGAAATTGCACATTGCAGCTTTCATATTAAGTTATCAAGATTCAACATTTGAAACATTAAATTGCTCATATAATCCTCTCTGTTCCAAAAATGCACAACAATCTTAAGTGGTGGTTTAAGAAGAACGTTTTTTCTCATGGAGAATGTAATTGCGCCCCGACTCATCCACCAATTTACAACATATTTAAATTGGCTTTTTTTTCCTACTGCATCTGTAAAAACAGTGAATGGTAAAATACGAGATAATGGCTTCTGCTGGCTTCAGTATTTGCACAATTTTGTAGAGAATAACTGAGAAACAAAGCTGCCATATTGTTTATTTTCCAGGCTCCGTAAACTTGAAATGTGTTTTTATTTGTGTATTTTACACATATGCACAAACAGACCAGTATATAAATGTGTTTTCCCAGCTGTTTTTAATCACTTGGCTTGTTTCTCTGCTGTTGTGTTCTCTACATGTGTTGATATTTATCAGAATATAGGTAAAACAAATATATATGCTATATATATATATATATATATATATATATATATATATATATATATATATATATATATATATACATTATGTGTGTATTT